ATTTTGGCAGGAAGCCTTAGCATTGAATGGTGTTGTTGTTAAAGTGCGAAGTATGGAAACCTGCACAGTTCGTTGGGCAATGCGACTTAAGCACCTTATGCGGCAGGTACTGGCTTGTTCAGTAGACTCTCCTCTACAGTTCCATTTTGGTGGGAAGCCTTAGCATTGAATGGTTGTGTCCTTAAAGTGAGAAGTATGGAACCCTGCGCAGACAGTTGGTCAATGCAACTTAAGCAATGTGCAGTCATTGAATTATTGACAACAGAAGGTGTCACCTCAACAGCTTTAAACTTACTCGTCCAACGACACACAGTACTCACATCAACACAATCACCATAAACAGCTTGTATTCTCTGATGAATCTCCTTTGGGGTGACACCTTCTACTGTCAATAATTCAATGACTGCACGTTGCTTAAGTTGCATTGGCTGACTGTCTGCACAGGGTTCCATACTTCTCACTTTAAGGACACAACCGTTCAATGCTAAGGCTTCCTGCCAAAATGGAACTGTAGAGGAGAGTCTACTGAACAAGGTAGTACCTGCCGCATACCAGTACTGCCGTCTGTTGAGGAGTTACGAAGGTGGAGGCATTACTTTTCATTCAACCCTCGTACATATATTTCAGCCTTTGGAGTTCCCTCCTACTGGATAGCTTGGAATCAGGTTTTAAAAAATGAAATATATAAAGGACATAAATAAATATAAATATAAAGGACATAACAACAATAACACAACAAAAAAGTCTGGGCTTTTGGGGATAACTCACAAAAGAAGTATTGAATGATTGCAGCATGTGACTCAAACACCCATAATCCCTTTCTATTTAGGGATGCTGGGATTTGCTTTCCAGCAACACCAGGAGAACTATGCTTTTCCTAAGAGTTTTTACAAGGTTGTTTAAGGAAAAGATTCATAAGGAAGATGAGATACACAATGATGTATCTCCCATATATACACTTTCTTCCTCTTCTGCAACAATGTTTGTATATATTTGCAAGCAGGACTTTTTTTTTTTTGGTTTGTTGCTATTGTGTGCCTTTGTTTCCAACTCACAGCAACCTGGAGGCAAATGTATCCCATGGTTTTCTTGCAAGATTTGGTCAGAGGACGTCTGTATCTCTTCTGTCACATAATGCAATTTGAAACTGTGTTATATGGCTAGTGTAGACCAGTGTTTCTCAACCTGGGGGTCGGGACCCCTTGTGTCAGAGGGGTCACCAAAGACCACCAGAAAACACAGTATTTTCTGTTGGTTATGAGGGTTCTGTGCGGGAAGTTTGGCCCAATTCTAATGTTGGTGGGGTTCAAAATATTCTTTGATTGTAGGTGAACTATAAATCCCAATAATTAAGACTCCCAAATGTCAAGGTCTATTTCCCCCAAACTGCACCAGTGTTCACATTTGGACATATTGAATCATAGAATCAAAGAGTTGGAAGAGACCTCATGGGCCATCCAGTCCAACCCCCTGCCAAGAAGCAGGAATATTGCATTCAAATCACCCCTGACAGATGGCCATCCAGCCTCCTGTTTAAAAGCTTCCAAAGAAGGAGCCTCCACCACACTCTGGGGCAGAGAGTTCCACTGCTGAACAGCTCTCACAGTCAGGAAGTTCTTCCTAATGTTCAGGTGGAATCTCCTTTCTTGTAGTTTGAAAGCCATTGTTCCATGTCCTAGTCTCCAGGGCAGCAAAAAACAAGTTCGCTCCCTCCTCTCTATCGTCTCGCATATTTATACACGGCCCTCATCATGTCTCCTCTCAGCCTTCTCTTCTTCAGGCTAAACATGCCCAGCTCTTTAAGCCGCTCCTCATAGGGCTTGTTCTTCACACCCTTGATCCTTTGAGTGACCCTCCTCTGGACACATTCCAGCTTAGAGTCAACATCTCCCTTGATCATTTTAGTCGCCCTCAAGACAGATAATCCGCAAAATCTGCTTCGAACTGGGTTATCTGAGTCCACACTGCCATATAACCCAGTTCAAAGCAGATGATGTGGGGTTGTATACAGCTGTGTGGAAGGGGCCTTACTCTGAGGCTGAGAGAATGTGAATCACCGAAGAAGATTTTGAGACTCAATGGAAGACAGTAGTAACCACCTTTGGGAACCCATGATTGCAATGGTGTAGGAACACTGAGGCTGCGGACCATATTTTAGTTCTTGTGGACCACAGGTTGAGAACCACTGGTCCACAGACCACTGGTGTAGACGCACCCGCTTTTGTGCTGCTCAAAGTATGGAAAACTCTGTCTTTTCCTCTGGTCTTCTCGCTCCTTGGTTCATCATTTGCCTTTATAAACCAGCCCTTTGTGTTTCCAGCGACACAGAGTCCGAATTATGTGCGTTTCCACCCACAACGCTGCTTTTGTGCTCCCCGGCCAACAGAAGGTTTTGTGCTCCTTTTCTTCCTCCCTCCAGAATCCAAGGCGAGATTATTGTTGGCAGTTTGGCGCAGAGGAGGCGGAAGAAAAGGGGGCCTTTTGTTCCAAAACACACCCGGGGACTTCTGACCCGGTCCCTTGTTCTGGAAGATGGCAGCTGTCCCGCGACTAATTCACCAAATGCAAAGTCCCGAGGCTTACTGCCTTGTGTCTCCGTCTGGCCTTCTCCCTTGATCGCTGGTTGATCAGGCATTAAGAGAACACATTCAGTGGCTGCAAAAAACACACTCATTTGCATCTCATTCAAGAGATAACAGCAGGATATAAATAAATATAACAACAACAACAGTGCTTTGTTTCTTCCATTCGAAGACACACTTTCCCCATCATATAAATAACTCTAAAAACAGGTGCATCTTACAATCAATGGCATTCACGAATCAAAGACATCATATTATTATTATTATTATTATTATTATTATTATTATTATTATTATTATTTTACTGACGTCACAGCAAGCAAGATCTATATGCTGGATTTATTATTATTATTATTATTATTATTATTATTATTATTATTATTATTTTACTGACCCAAAAACACAGTATGTCACAGCAAACAAGATCTATATGCTGGAATTATTACTATTATTATTATTATTATTATTAGAAACACAACCAGATGAGTCCACAGCAGACACTCTGCTGGCTGTTGTATTGGATCACACGTTGGACACTTCCCAAGTGTATAGGACGATGTGTCTCCGGATCAGCGAATAATGCATGCAGATCCCAGTAAGGTGGCCTTCTGCAGCTGGCAGGTGGGAATTTTGTCAGCGCCAATTGTGTTTAAGTGCAGGCCAAGGTCTTTAGGCACTGCACCCAGTGTGCCAATAACCCTGGGACTACCTTGAGTGGATTGTGCCAGAGTCTTTGCAGTTTGACCATTACCGTATTGTTGTTGTTGCTGTTGTTGTTGTTGTTGTTATTATTATTATTATTATTATTATTATAAACACAACAAGATGAGTCCACAGCAAACAAGATCACTATGCTGGTTGTTGTATAGGATCACACGTTTGATACTTTTCAAGTGTCTAGGACTATGTGATGTATCCGTGAATAATGTGTACAGATCACACTAGTTGGCCTTTTGCAACTGACAGATGGTAATTTTGTCAGCGCCGATTGTGCTTAAGTGCAGGCCAAGGTCTTTAGGCACTGCACCAGTGTGCTGATAACCCTGGGACTACCTTGAGTGGCTTGTGCCAGAGTCTTTGCAGTTTGACCATTACCGTATTATTATTATTATTATTATTATTATTATTATTATTATTATTAGAAACACACGATGAGTCCACAACAAACAAGATCACTATGCTGGTTGTTGTATTGGATCACACGTCGGACACTTCCCAAGTGTCTAGGACTATGTGATGTATCAGCAAATAATGTGTACAGATCACACTAGGTAGGCCTTTTGGAGCTGACAGATGGTAATTTTGTCAGTGCCGATTGTGTTTAAGTGCAGGCCAAGGTCTTTAGGCACTGCACCCAGCGTGCCGATTACCCTGGGACTACCTTGAGTGGCTTGTGCCAGAGTCTTTGCAGTTTGACCATTACATTATTATTATTATTATTATTATTATTATTATTATTATTATTAGAACACAACAAGATGAGTCCACAGCAAACAAGATCATTCTGCTGGTTGTTGTATTGGATCACACATCCGACACTTTCCAAGTGTCTAGGACTGTGTGATGTATTGGCGAATAATGTGTGCAGATCCCAGTAAGGTGGTCTTTTGCAGCTGATCATATAATAATATAATAATAATAAACTTTATTTATACCCCGCCACCATCTCCACGGTGAGGACTCGGAGCGGCTTACATGGGGCCAAGACCGGACAAAATATTACAGCAATAAAATCAAAACATAAACAACAAACAACTACAACATTATCAAAATGACATTAAAATAATAATAAAATAATAATAGTAATAATAAAATAAAATAAAAATTCCAATAGACACAATCACGATAGAGATGACAATGGGCAGGCCACATATTCTGAATAAAAAACAATTAACAGACTATGATGAGATAAAATAGGAGCAGCAGATGGTAATTTTGTCAGCAGCACCAATTGTGTTTAAGTGCAGGCCAAGGTCTTTAGGCACTGCACCTAGTGTGCCGATCCCCACTGGGACCACCTTGAGTGGCTTGTGCCAGAGTCTTTGCAGTTTGATCTTTATTATTATTATTATTATTATTATTATTATTATTATTATTACTTTACTGACACAAAGACACAGTATGTCACAGAAAATGAGATATATATGCTGGATTTCATAGTATTATTATTAATTATTATTATTTCGTATTATTATTATTATTGATTCGTACTTTGTGAAAGTGGAATGTTTACAATTTGGCTCCACTTTGGATTTGGATCAAGCATTTCTGGAAAGCAATTTGATGCCAGCAGACGTTTCAAGTGGCGAATGCTTCTCGGCTGAAGGAGTGCCCAGCCCACCTCTGTTTATTCTGGACACATTTCGAACTGTCGCCTGATTTGGCTGTTTTTCTGAACGTGCACCTTCCTTCTTTCAGGATCAGTCCGCCATGCCTGAGGTCCGGGACCTTGCCGATGCTTTGCCCGAAGTGCCCATGGACCCCATCACCGGAGTCGGGGTGGTCGCCTCCCGCAACCGAGCACCTACCAATTACGACGTGGTATGTCCTTCCCCTTCTTTCCTTTTCCGTAATTTCTGAGCTTCCTCCTTCCTCGTTTGCTTGCTTCCTTCCTCACTCCATTCCTCGCTCCATTTAATTTAGGAGCCCTCATTAGAGCAGTGGGTTAAAGCGCTGAGCTGCTGAACTTGCTGACCAAAAGGTTGCAGTTTGAATCTAAGAGGTGTGGTGAGCTCCCGCTGTTAGCCCCAGCTTCTGCCAACCTAGTAGTTTGAAAACATGCAAATGTTAGTAGATCAATAGGTACCACTTCGGCATGAAGGTAACGGCGTCCCATGCAGTCATGCCGGCCACATGACCTTGGAGGTGTCTAAGACAACGCTGGCTCTTCGGATTAGAAATGGAGATGAGCACCAACCCCAGAGTCACACAAGACATTGGACTGTGTGAAGGTAACGGCGTTCCATGCAGTTATGCTGGCCACATGACCTGGAGGTGTCTAAAGACAACGCTGGCTCTTCGGATTAGAAATGGAGATGAGCACCAACCCCAGAGTCACACAAGACATTGGACTGTGTGAAGGTAACGGCGTTCCATGCAGTTATGCTGGCCACATGACCTGGAGGTGTCTAAAGACAACGCTGGCTCTTCGGATTAGAAATGGAGATGAGCACCAACCCCAGAGTCACACAAGACATTGGACTGTGTGAAGGTAACGGCGTTCCATGCAGTTATGCTGGCCACATGACCTGGAGGTGTCTAAAGACAACGCTGGCTCTTCGGATTAGAAATGGAGATGAGCACCAACCCCCAGAGTCATGCAAGACATTGGACTGTGGACTAGTGTGCTGAATATATACAAGAATGTATTGTCGAAGGCTTTCATGGCCAGAATCACTGGGTTGTTGTAGGTTTTTCCGGGCTATATGGCCATGTTCTATAGGAATTTTCTCCTGACGTTTTCGCCTGCATCTATGGCAAGCATCCTCAGAGGTAGTGAGGTCTGTTGGAAGTAGGAAAATGGGTTTATATATCTGTGGAATGACCAGGGTGGGACAAAGACTTTTGTCTGCTGGAGCTAGGTGTGAATGTTTCAACTGACCACCCTGATTAGCATTTAATGGCTTGGAAGTGCCTGGGGGAATCTTTTGTTGAGAGGTGATTTGATGTGCCTGATTGTTTACTCTCTGTTGTTTTGCTGTTGTAATTTTTGAGTTTTTTTTAGTTTGTTACTAAACCCGAGATGTTATTTTTCAAAGAAGACTCCTTTGCTTTGTCTCTTGAGTGCATATTTTAACAAAGAGGTTTCAAGGGAGTGTATATCTTTTTGGGCAATTACAACTTCAAAGAAACAACCATCCTCTGCTAATCCAAATATATATTTTGTAGTGGCATGTCTTTATCCTTGACATGGTTCTTCAGTCTAACAACTGAGTTACCTGTGTGCCATTACACGAATGCTTATGAATATCACTTGTTCAGGGCTGACTCCTAACAAGATCATGCTGTTCCCTATTAGTGGTCCACATGTTCAAGGAGAACTTCCTGACTGTGAGAGCCGTTCAGCAGTGGAACTCTCTGCCCCGGAGTGTGGTGGAGGCTCCTTCTTTGGAAGCTTTTAAACAGAGGCTGGATGGCCATCTGTCAGGGGTGATTTGAATGCAACATTCCTGCTTCTTGGCAGGGGGTTGGACTGGATGGCCCATGAGGTCTCTTCCAACTCTTTGATTCTATGATTCTATGATTCCATGAGATTCACATTTGCCCCTGATATGATACATAAATAGTTTGAAGACATGGTTCTTCAGTCTAACAGATGAGTTACCTATGTGCCATTACACGAATGCTTATGAGTATCACTTGTTCAGGGCTGACTCCTAACAAGATCATGCTTTTCTCGATAAGTGGTCCATATGTTCAAGGAGATTCACATTTGCAAAATGGATGTGACATCATGTTTACCTTTTCAATAACGTTACGGTGCAGTAATTATGGAATTTCCAATATTTTTTCCTGGAGTTTTGCGTGCATCTGTGGTATCTTCAGAGAATCTATTTCAGGCATAAGCAAGGTGTTTTGGACTTCAACTCCCACAATTCCTTCTTACTTAGCCGATCCCTGGTTGTCAGACTAGGATAATCCTCCAGGGTGGGTCCGTAGGTGACTGTGAAGCCCTATTCTTGACCTGCATCTTCTCCCGCAGTGAGGGCATTGCTTTCCAGGTGGAAGGTGGTCTCGGTCGGGGTTGGCTTGACACACCTTCCTCTTGGCACGTTTCTCTCTTTCACCCTCCATTCGTGCCTCTTCAAATTCTGCAGCACTCCTGGTCACAGCTGACCTCCAGCAGGAGCGCTAAAAGGCCAGGGCTTCCCAGTTCTCTGTGTCTATGCCAGAGTTTTGAAGGTTAGCTTTGAGCCCATCTTTCAATCTCTTTTCCTGCCCAACAACATTCCATTTTCCATTCTTGAGTTCGGAGTAGAGCAACTGCTTTGGGAGACGGTGGTCGGGCATCTGGACAACGTGGAGTTGATGGCAGAGGACCATCGCTTCAATGCTGGTGGTCTTTGCTTCTTTTAACATGCTGACATTTGTCCATTTGTCTTCCCAAGAGATTTGCAGGATTTTTTGGAATCAGCGCTGATGGAATCATTCTAGGAGTTGCATGTGACATCTGTAGACAGTCCACGTTTTGCAGGCATATAGCAGGGTTGGGAGGACAATAGCTTTTGGAATTGTGGGAGTTCAAGTCCAAAACATCTGGACAAGTTTCCCCTAGAATTCATGTTGAGAGAATGTCTTCCTTGACAAGGTTGGTTCAGAGTAGGCTTCCGCCCTCTGAGGCTGAGAGAGTGTCGCCCAATGGGTCTCCATGACCAAGCTGGGATTGGAACCCTGCTCTCCAGAGTCGTTGCCCAACACTCTCCATCCAAGAGCTCCTGATAACCAAACTTGGATTTGGGAAGACACATCTTGGGAATAGGAAATCCGAAACCATCCAGCTGGAAGGATGTAGCCAAAAACAGACGGAGGAACGTGATCTTTGGCCGGCTGTCGGTGAATTGCTGTTGCACCGCTGTGCAAAGTTTCCCCGAGAGCTCATTTTGAGCGCACATCTTTGTGGTGCTGAAAGGAGGCGTATCCGGCGATTGCATTTTCCAAGTACGGATTCAGCTGTTAACATTTACTATGCTTCTGGAGACATATTTGCGTTCACATAAACGTAGACATCTGCACTACCTCTGAGGATGCTTGCCATAGATGCAGGCGAAACGTCAGGAGAGAATGCCTCTAGACCATGGCCATATAGCCCGAAAAAACCTACAACAACCCATCTACACTTAGTTTCTAAAATGTTTCTAAAATATCAAAATAATTGTTACTTTTTCTTAAGTAATTGCACAAGGGGGGTTGGTTCATCAGTTGCAGAGTAAATAAAGAGCAACACTAAAAAACACCAGAGGAATTCCAGACAGGGAACAATCAGGGCCAGCTAACACCTCCTAACAAAGGATTCCTCCAGCAGATGCTCATCCAGCCTTTGAAATAATAACGTGCTTTCATAGCTGGAATCACTGGGTTGCTGTGCGCTTTCTGGGCTGTCTGGCGATGTTTCAGAAGCATTCTCTCCTGATGTTTTGCCCACATCTATGGCAGGGCATCCTCAGTGGTTGTAACGTCTGTTGAAAACTAGACAAGTAGGGTTTATATGTGTAAAGAAGCCACTACTTTGTAACAACGACACCAGAAGCAGTAGGGACGTCACTGATTTATCAGGGTCTCCTACTATTTGTAATGGATTTATAAAATTGATAACACAGCTAATAGCATATAATATTTTGTTGGTCTTTCTTCAATGTGTAGTGCGGCTTGACTTGAAAGTATTCATAACAGAGACTTGGCTTTAAGAGAAATTAACAAGTTTATTGAAGTATAGAAGAAGCTTAATGGTTTCAATGTTTCTTAACTCCTAGAGGCACATTTCTTTAGAGGTTACGTTTATAACATTTCATAAAACAACTCTTCCTTTCACTAAACAGGTTTTAAACTTATTTTTCTTCAAACTGTGTTTCTTTTCTTAACAGATCACTTCAGGTACCAGCTTATCCTTTCCCTATGTTATTCCTGTTGCAGTAAAGATGCTTGCTGGGTTTCTCTCCCCCTTTTTGCTCATACACTAACTACTAATCTAAATAAGTCAACTTGACCTATCCAAACCTCACAGGCTAAAAGCCTAAACCTTTCTGGTTCTCAACACAGTAGAACCAGCCTTTCCCTGTTGTTCTCTAACTACAGACTGCTTCCCTGATTCTCAACACTGTAGAACCAGCCTTTCCTGCAGTTCTCAGACTACAGACCGACTGTTTTAAAATGCCTGCCCTGCCAAGTGGCAGTTGGTTCCGCCCCTTTTTCTATGGCAACCCAGCTCAGAGTGAGCTGAGCTGGCTACCATCCCCCCAGTTATGTTATTTTAAATACTTACCCTTTTTAAACACCTGTCTATAATTATACATGACTAAAAATTCACACCACCACAATATTCCTGTGGAAAGAACTCTTGTCTGCTTGAGGCAAGTGTGAATGTTGTAATTGGCTAGCATGATTAGCACTGAATGGCCTTGCAGGTTTAAATCCTGGCTGCTTCCTACCTGGGGGATCCTTTGTTGGAAGGTGTTAGCTGTCCCTGATAGTTGGAGGAAGAACTCTTGTCTGTTTGAGGCAAGTGTGAATGTTGTAATTGGCCACCTTGATTAGCATTGAATGGCCTTGCAGTTTGAAATCTCGTCTGCTTCCTGCCTGGGGGGATCCTTTGTTGGAAGGTGTTCGCTGTCCCTGATTGTTGGAGGAATCACTCTTGTCTGTTTGAGGCAAGTGTGAATGTTGTAATTGGGTACCTTGATTAGCATCAAATGGTCATGCAGCTTCCAAGCCTGGCTGCTTCCTGCCTGGGGGGATCCTTTGTTGGAAGGTGTTAGCTGCCCCTGATTGTTGGAGGAAGAACTCTTGTCTGTTTGAGGCAAGTGTGAATGTTGTAATTGGCCACCTTGATTAGCATTGAATGGCCTTGCAGTTTCAAATCCTGGCTGCTTCCTGCCTGGAGGGATCCTTTGTTGGAAGGTGTTAGCTGTTCCTGATTGTTGGAGGAAGAACTCTTGTCTGTTTGAGGCAAGTGTGAATGTTGTAATTGGCTACCTTGATTAGCATCAAATGGTCATGTAGCTTCAAAGCCTGACTGCTTCCTGTCTGAGAATTCAACTACTTCAACCAGAGAAGTCAGCCATAGCAGAGCACTTGATGAACCAACCTGGACACAGCATATTATTTGAGACCACAGAAATGCTGGAACACTCTCACAACCACCATGTCAGACTACACAAAGAAGCCATTGACATCCACAAACATGTGGACAATTTCAACAGAAAGGAGGAAACAATGAAAATGAACAAAATCTGGCTACCTGTATTACAAAACTTTAATATCAGGACAGCCAATAAAGAGTAACACTCAGAAAACAGGGGAATTCCAGACAGGGAAGAATCAGGGCCAGCGAACACTTCCCAACCAAGAATTCCCCCAGACAGGAAGCAGCTAGGCTTGGAAGCTACAAGGCCATTCAGTGCTAATCAAGGTGGAGAGTGGCAACATTCACACTTGCCTCCAACAGAAAAGAGTTCTTTCTCCCACCCTGGACATTATTCCACAGGTATATAAACCCCACTTGCCTAGTTTCCAACAGACTTCATAACCTCTGGGGATGCCTGCCATAGATGTGTGTGAAACGTCAGGAGAGAATGCTTCTGGAACATAACCAGACAGCCTGGAAAACTCACAGCAGCTCAGTGTTTCTGTTCATGAAAGCCTTCGACAACATATATCTGAATGTGTCCCACTCACCTTAAGGGCCAATGTCCAAGGTAACTTTCCTTCCTTCCTTCCCATTTGCCTTTGTTTTTCTTCCTTCTCTCCCTTGGAAAAGAGACTTAATGAGGTGTCAAGAGAATCTCTTTCCGACATTAATTAGGGTAGATACGAAAGGGATTTAGTGGCTACCTATTAACTTCAGCCGAGTCCCTTTGCCCTTCCCTTCTTCACCTCCTTTGATTCGGTTCATCTTTTCTTTTCCAGGTTGCCCAAACGGCAGACGGTTTGGACGCCGACCTCTGGAAAGACGGCTTGTTCAAATCCAAGGTGACGCGATACCTGTGTTTCACCCGGATCTTTTCCAAGGAGAACGTAAGTGGCTTGTGAGATACCTGTGTTTTAATATTTTTTGGAATGATGTGGTAGTCCTTACTTACTTAGGCGATCCCTCATAGTCCGAGGATGATGGCCGGTGTCCTGGGGGTGGATTCGTAGGTGACCGTGGAGCTCTATTCTTGACCTGCATCTTCTCCCACAGTGAGGGCATTGGTTTCCAGGTGGAAGGCGGTTTCGGTCAGGGTTGGTTTGACGTGCCTTCCTCTTGGCACGTTTCTCTCTTTCACCCTCCATTCGTGCCTCTTTAAATTCTGCAGCACTGCTGGTCACAGCTGACCTCCAGCTGGAGCGCTCAAGGGCCAGGGCTTCCCAGTTCTCAGTGTCTATGCCAGAGTTTTTAAGGTTGACTTTGAGCCCATCATTCAATCTCTTTTCCTGTCCACCAACATTCCGTTTTCCATTCTTGAGTTCGGAGTAGAGCAACTGCTTTGGGAGACGGTGGTCGGGCATCCGGACAACGTGGCCAGTCCAGCGGAGTTGATGGCGGAGGACCATCGCTTCAATGTGGTGGTCTTTGCTTCTTCCAGCATGCTGACGTTTGTCCGCCTGTCTTCCCAAGAGATTTGCAGGATTTTCCAGAGGCAGCACTGATGGAATCGTTCCAGGAGTTGCATGTGATGTCTGTAGACAGTCCACATTTCACAAGCATATAGCAGGGTTGGGAGGACAATAGCTTTATAGACAAGCACCTTGGTCTTTCTACGGATGTCCCGGTCCTCAAACACTCTCTGCTTCATTCAGAAGAATGCTGCACTCGCAGAGCTCAGGCGGTGTTGTATTTCGGTGTCGATCTTGACTTTGGTGGAGAGGTGGCTGCCAATGTAGTGGAAATGATCAACATTTTCTAATGTTACACCATTAGGCTGTATCGCTGGCATTGGAGAGGGATTGCCTGGTGATTGCTGGAACAGCACTTTATTGAGTGTTGGACCAAAGGTCTCAAAGGCAAGCTAGGCAAAAGAAACCCATACATAGCAGAGTCTTTATCAGTTTTCAGCAGAGTTTTACTTGTGCCGCTCACTGATTAAGAAAACTCTTTGACTCGGTTTTTCATCCAAACTCACAGTGGAGACTTTTAATCTTGATGCATTACTTTATATACACAGACCAGGAGCCCCCCATGTCCTATCAGTCAGTGGCATGTGCAGAGATAACAGATAACATGCCGTGAGTAACAGATTCATGTTGAGAAGCACGAGAGTTATGGCAAGAAAAAGAACTCACACCTCTTTCCCTCTTTTATACGCATTGCTTGCTCGTCATCAACCAGGGACAAAAATGAATGATACAACCCTTGCATGTCCCTTCAATTACACAGAGACCCAGTGGCGCAGTGGGAGTGGAGTGAGCTCCCACTGTTAGGCCCAGCTTCTGCCAGCCTAGCAATTTGAAAACATGCAAATGTGAGTAGATCATTAGGTACCACTCCGGCGGTAAGGTAACGGTGTTCCATGCAGTCATGCCGGCCACATGACCTTGGAAGTGTCTATGGACAATGCCAACTCTTCGGTTAAGAGATGAGCACCAACCCCCAGAGTCAGACATGACTGGACTTAATGTCAGGGGAAAATCTTTATCTTACCATTACCTTCAATTTCACATCACCATCTACTTAACCTTTCAGCAGGTGTGTGACCACATGTCCATTAGAACTGTATTTTCCACCAGTTTTATTTAATAGGGTTACAGACAAGGCAATCCTTTCTAATACATTATCTATCTAACATTTTGTTTCCAATGAAATACTTATTATTATTATTATTGACACAAAATGTGTCACAGCAAACGAGATCTATATGCTGGATTTCATATCACAAAATTACAAGTCGAACACTTCCCAAGCGTCTAGGACTGTGTGATGTATTATTATTATTATTATTATTATTATTATTATTATTATTATTATTATTATTATTATTAGCTTGGGTACCCTCACTGCCAGTGTTATTTGAAGAAGTCAGTTTTTAATGGTACAAAATGCATAAGGTTGTGGGTGAACTACAACTCCCATCATGCCAGATTAATCCCAAGAAACTCCATCAGCATTTAAAGTTTGTTATGTTGGCTCATGTTTAACTTGTTGTCCATGAGGACTCAAAGATCTTTTCCGCACGTCCTGCTCTCAAGCCACGCGTCCCCCATTCTGTATCTTTGCATTCCATTTTTTCTGCCTAAGTGGAGTATCTTGCATTTGTCACTGTTGAACTTCATTTTGTTAGTTTTGGCCCATCTCTCTAATCTGGCAAGACTGTTTGATGCTAAGGCTTCCCACCAAAATGGAACTGTAGAGGAGAGTCTACTGAACAAGACAGTACCCTGCATATGGTGTTTAAGTCGCCTTGACCGACTGCCTGCGCAGGGTTCCATACTTTGCAATTTAACACCACCACCATTCAATGCTAAGCCTTCCAGCCCAAATGGAATTGTAGAGGAGAGTCTACTGAACAAGCCAGTACCTGCCGCATACGGTGCTTAAGTCGCCTTGACCGACCATCTGCGCAGGGTTCCATACTTTGCACTTTAACAACACCACCGTTCAATGCTAAGCCTTCCAGCCCAAATGGAACTGTAGAGGAGAGTCTACTGCACAAGCTAGTATCTGCCGCATACAGTGCTTAAGTCGCCTTGACCGACTGTCTGCGCAGGGTTCCATACTTTGCAATTTAACACCACCACCGTTCAATGTTAAGCCTTCCAGCCCAAATGGAACTGTAGAGGAGAGTCTACTGAACAAACCAGTACCTGCCACATACAGTGCTTAAGTCGCCTTGACCGACCGTCTGCACAGGGTTCCATACTTTGCACTTTAACAACACCACCGTTCAATGCTAAGCCTTCCAGCCCAAATGGAACTGTAGAGGAGAGTCTACTGAACAAGCCAGTACCTGCCACATACCAGTACTGCCATCTGTTAAGGAGTTAGGAAGGTGGAGGCATTACTTTTCATTCAACCCTTGTACATAGATGCCAAATATTCTTCCATATTGACATTTACATTGGTTTCTGTTGTTTCTTTTGTGTGTGTGTTGTGTGTTTTCTCTCTCTGGCCCTTAATTAGAACGGAAAGGCATTTGCTGGATCCCAAATACAGTTTCATGTTCCAACTGGCATGTCGACACGACTCTTTGCTCTCTTTGGGGAATTTTCCTCTGATTTTTGGGAGCCAGGAACAAGAACATGCCGGGCTAATTAGCCAAATTCCTTGCATATGCCTGGACACGGCCTTGTGCCGGATGTGTCTTCCCAAAAACGAATGCATTCCCTCGCTCCTCTGTCACTGTTTTATGTAAAACAGGGTCTCTTTGCAGTTTTTTCCCCTCCGGTTAGCATGCAAAGCCGAGCATGTCCTTTCCTGCAAAAAAAGTCTCATTGTTTTTCACGGGAATTGCAGCTGCCAAAACTTGGAGTCTTTGGGGCGGCATCAGACAAGCTGCACTCTCTCAGCCTTAGAGGATGGCAGCCGCAAATCCCCTCCAAACAAAATCAGAAATCCCGATATTTGGTTTGCTTTGGGAGTCTCCATAAGTCAGAATTGTCTTAAAGGCACATGACAACAAATCTCTTCCAAGAGATGGGAAATATCAGCTTTGTCTTGTTGGTTGTCATTTCCGCTTAATTGGGAGGCATTGGCTTTCTCTCTTCCCTTCTCAACAGAGCCATTTGGGGAACGTCTTGGTTGACATGAAGCTCATAGATATCAAAGACACCTTGCCGGTTGGCTTCATTCCCATCCAGGAGACTATGGATACACGTAAGTTGAGTTGACTTGATATTTTTTTTCCGGAGATATAAAACTCATAAAAGTGCAAGGAAGTGAGGTAACACAGAAACATGGAGACAAGAGAACCATTTCAATGTGCGTGCAAGATTGTTCCTTTCCTAACAAGAAGAGTGGGTTTTGGTGTAAGTGTTGCAACTCAGAGTAAGCTTCGCCTTGCTCCCAAACACCACCACACAAGAGCTGTCGAATTTGTAGTTTATTGAGGAAAAATCCAAATATAAAATAAGCAATGCAAAGTTCCAAAGACATAGGTTAAATGCAGTACACAGTTCCAAAGGTCTTCAGGTAAAAACAAAAGACATAATCCTTTAAGCAAAGATCAAAACAGAGTCCATGATAAAAACAGTGAAACATAAACTCCAAGAATCACGATGCAGGAAGCCCAAAGCGTACTGCTTTAAAGCCAAGGTTATTCCATGAAGCTTTCAGGCTAACAAGCCACGTTGAACTGACACTTTCCTTTCGTTAACTAGAAGCCTAAATACTTTTTGCTAACATGAAAACATTATGCTCTCACCAACATGAAAGCATTGCGATGACCTTTCCCCAAGCTGGCTTCTCTTCGGCTGGCTAGGCGTGAACTCCTTCTGACCCGCAAATCAAGGCATGCTTGCCGGGTCAGGTCACTATCAAGGCTTTCTGCACTATCACTATCACCGTGGGAAGGCAAAGGCCTCTCCACCTGTTCGTTATCTAGTTCATTTGCAACGGTGGTCCACGCTTTGGTTACATCCCGTTTAGATTACTGCAACGCTCTCTACGTGGGGTTGCCTATGAAGACTGCCCGGAAGCTCCAACTAGTCCAACGAGCGGCAGCCAGAATACTAACACGAGCGGGGTACAGGGAGCATACTACTCCTCTGTTGCACCAGCTCCACTGGCTGCCAATTAGCTTCCGAGCACAATTCAAAGTGCTGGTGTTAACCTATAAAGCCCTAAATGACTCCGGCCCAGTTTACCTGTCCGAACGGATTCTCCCCTATGAACCATCAAGATTGTGTTAAGATCTTCTGGAGGGGTCCTGCTCTTGGTCCCACCAGCCTCACAAGCACGTCTGGTGGGGACGAGGGACAGGGCCTTCTCGGTGGTGGCCCCTCGGCTCTGGAACTCTCTCCCACTGGAGATCAGAACTGCCCCCTCTATCTTGACGTTCAGGAAACAGGTGAAAACTTGGCTGTGGAAATTGGCATTCGACGAGTGAGTCAATATTCTGTGATATGGATGGATGATGATGAATGACGAACAATGATTTTATTGTGACGACTGACCATTGTAATTATTTGACTGCATTGCTATTTTAATGTTTTAGCTTAATATGTAATATGATGTTTTTAATGACTGTTTGTGATATTACTGTTGGAAACTGGCCCAAGTCCCTCAACAGAGGGGCCTCAGAAAAAGAGCCTCAGAAAAAGAGCTTCAGAAAAAGACATAGGAATAGCCCAGGAATCTGTGGCACAGAAAAAAAAGCCAGGAATCTGAATCCCATCATCTTCATCATCAGAGAACATCTCAGGCCCAGAATCACGCTGAACCACAACAATAAGTCATGTGGGGGTTGGTTGGGAATCAGCTGCATTAAAATCACCATTGACTATGAGTTTGAAGCCAGCCCGGGTCGGAGTAAGCTCCCGACCATTTGTCTAGCTTGCTGTCGACCTTTGCAGCCTGAAAGACAGTTGCATTTGTCAAGTAGGAAATGTAGGTACCCTAATTTAATAAAAAATAAATAATAATAAAAATATTTATATATCACTCTATCTCCCCGAGGGGGACTCAGGGTAACATCACTGAAACATACAAAGTAAACAGCATGACATAAAATTAACAAAACAACATAAGCATAAAATTATCACAATAACACATGTATATTAAAAGTAATCCTACCTGTTCATAGCAATTAAAAAGCCGGACCAAGGCTAGTGCAAACTCAAAATATGAGGGGGCCGGGAATTAAGTACAGTGCTATAACAGGCTAATGGCAATAGCAGGTATGGGTCTGTGGCTGCTCATTTCCAGGGCCTATTCAAGGGATGACCGGGATAATAGGTAAGAGTGTAAGGCCATATTCAACAATGTTTGAGCTGGACTAGAACTGGTCATTCTCAAAGACTTGTTGAAACCACTGGGTCTTCAAGCTCTTATGAAAGTAGGGGAGGGATGAGGCCTGTCTTATTTCCTTTGGAAGGGCATTCCAGAGGCGGGGGGCCACCACCGAGAAGGCCCTCTCTCTCATCCCCACCAACCATACTCGTGACAATGGTTGGAGTGAAAGGAGGGCCTCCCCGGAAGATCTTAGAGTTCGCACCGGTTCATGGAAGGAGATGCGATAGCAGGGCCCGAACCATTTAGGGCTTAATTTAATTTAACTAATTTGTAACACCATAAAAAATCTCCATCAGGATGAAAAAGAATGAGGAAGTACTACATAGGTGTCATAAGTGCCAGTGAAGCTATAGCTCCCCCGGTGGCCAGAATGAGATAATACCCTTATGAAGCTGGAAAGTTAAATAGCCTCTGTGTGTCTGTCTATAATAATAATAATAATAATAATAATAATAATAATAATAATAATAATAATAACTTTATATATTCCCCGCTACCATCTCCCCAAGGGACTCTGTGTGGTTTACATGAGGCCGAGCCCACAATACAACAATAATAAAGCAATAGCAAACAAACAATACAAAACAGTTAAAATATATCTCATAAGCAAAAATAAAAATAAGCAATACAGTAACACAACAAGCATTTAAAAACCTATGGCTGGGCCAAATGTAAAATTAAAATTTAAAAATAATGCTGGGCATGAGCAAGGTAGGAGATAACTGGGATAGAAATTTTCGGAGGGGATCGGGCGTGCAAATCAATCCTAAATCAATAATAAAGTGCACTTTGAGGACATATTGCTGAGAGTTTCGCTTATTCTGGAAAGGCACATTGGAACAACCACATTTTCAGGCTCCTCCTAAAGATTGCCAGAGTTGGGGCATTCTGGATGTCCTTGGGAAGCGAGTTCCAGAGTCGGGGGGCCGCCACCGAGAAGGCCCTCTCCTTCGTCCCCACCAATCGCGCCTGCGATGGAGGTGGGTGCGCGAGCAGGGTCTCTCCAGATGATCGAAGAGATTGTGTGTGTTCGTACACAGAGATATGGTCACTCAGGTAGGCGGGTCCCAAACCGTTCAGGGCTTTGTAGGTAAGAACCTACACCTTGAATTGGGTCCAGAAAATGGACAGCAGCCAGTGGAGCTCCTTAAACAGGAGGGTTGACCACTCCCTGTAAGGAGCACCAGTTAACAACCTGGCTGACGCCCATTGAACCAATTGAATTTTTCGGCCCGTTTTCAAGGGCAGCCCCACATAGAGTGCATTACAGTAGTCCAATCAGGAGGTGACTAAGGCATGGACCACCCTGGCCAGATCCGCCTTCACAAGGTCTATATATGTTGTGTGTCTATGGCATTGAATGTTTGCCATGTATATGTGCGTTGTGATCCGTCCTGAGTTTCCTGCGGGGTGAGAAGGGCGGAATATAAATACTGTAAATAAAAATAAAATATCTGAATCCTGTACTCACTCCCTTTGCAGAAGAAACCGCTTTCCGAAAGAAGAGGCTCTGCATCAAGTTCATCCCGCGGGATTCCACGGAGGCGGCCATTTGCGATATCCGAATCCTGGGCCGGGGCAAGCAAGCTCCTCCGCAGTACACTTTCATCGGGTAATAATAATAATAATAATAATAATAATAATAATAATAAGGATTTAAAGATTGGTCCCAGGGCATCAGAGGGGTCTCCAAAGACGATAAGAAAACACAGTATTTTCTGGATTGTTGTAGGTTTTTTCGGGCTATATGGCCATGGTCTAGAGGCATTCTCTCCTGACGTTTCGCCTGCATCTATGGCAACCATCCTCAGAGGTAGTGAGGTCTGTGGAACTAGGAAAAAGGGTTTATATATCTGTGGAATGACCAGGGTGGGACAAAGGACTCTTGTCTGCTGGAGCTAGGTGTGAATGTTTCAACTGACCACCTTGATTAGCATATAATGGCATGACAGTGCCTGGAGCAAACTTTTGTTGAGAGGTGATTAGATGTCCTTGTTTGTTTCCTCTCTGTTGTTGTGCTGTTGTAATTTTCTGTCTGTCATGGGGATTCTGTGTGGGAGGTTTGCCCCAATTCTATCGTTGGTGGCGTTTAGAATGCTCTTTGATTTTAGGTGAACTATAAATCCCAACAACGGCAACTCCCAAATGTCAAGGTCTGTTTTCCCCAAGCTCCACCAGTGTTCACATTTGGGCATATTGAGTATTTGTGCCAGAGGACTGAATCAAAGAGGTGCCAAACTGCATTAATTTATAGTCGTGTAGGTTGGTGCATTTATTATTATTTATTTATTACCAATTGCACCAAAAACTAATGCTTTGGCGGTTCATTTTCTTTCAACCCCAAAGGGAACTCAACAGTATGGGCATCTGGTATCGAATGGGCAAAGTCCCCCGGAACCACGAAACATCTCAACCGACAACGCCTTCGCCACAAGCTCCGGCCACGACGCCAGCTGCCAACCTTCCCAGGTGAGGCTCTCTGTGCAAATTCTGCCTTTACTGTAAGGATTTAGTCCTTTCCAAGGAATGGGGCCGGTTGAATTCATGGAGACACCCATGTGAGGGTTGCCATCTTGGTTCGACCACAGTGTTGACACCAAATGCTTGGTACAACCTAGTATTGTATTGCAGCATCACAGCACTGGCTTGTGATACAGCCTAGAATTGTATTGTCTTTATCGGCTGCAGCATCACAGCATTGTCTCTTAGTATAGCCTAGTATTGTATTGGGCTTATCAGCTACAGCATTGGCTTTTGGTACAGCCTAGTATTGTATTGGTTTTATCGGCTGCAGCATCACAGCATTAGCTCTTGGTACAGCCTAATATTGTATGGCTTTGTTGGCTGCATCATCACAGCATTGGCTCATGATACAACCTCGTACTGTATTTATTGGCTGCAACATCACAGCATTGGCTCTTGGTACAGCCTAGTATTGTATTGGCTTTATCGACTGCAGCATCACAGCATTGGCTCTTGGTACATCATAGCATTGGCTCTGGATACAGCCTACTATTGTATTGGCTATGTTGACTGCAGCATCACAGCATTGTCTCTTAGTATAGCCTAGTATTGTATTGGCTTTTTTGGCTGCAGCATCACAGCATTGGCTCATGATACAGCCTAGTATTGTATTGCTTTGTTGGCTGCATCATCACAGCATTGACTCTTAGTACAGTCTATTATTGTACTGACTTTATCGGCTGCAACATCACAGCATTGGCTCTGGATACAGCCTAGTATTGTATTGGCTTTATTGGCTGCAGTATCACAGCATTAACTCTTGATACAGCCTAGTATTGTATTGGCTTTATTGGTTGCAGCATCACAGCATTGGCTCTTGATAAAGCCTAGTATTGTATTGGGTTTGTTGGCTGCAACATCACAGTATTGGCTCTTGATACAGACTATTATTGTATTGATTTTATCTGCTGCAGCATCACAGCATTGCCACTTGATACAGCCTAGTATGGCATTGACTTTATCGGTTGCAACATAACAGCATTGGCTCTTGAGAAAGCCTAATATTGTATTGGCTATGTTGACTGCAGCATCACAGCATTGTCTCTTAGTATAGCCTAGTATTGTATTGGCTTTATCAGCTGCAGCATCACAGCATTAGCTCTCGATGCAGCCTAGTATTGTATTGATTTTATCTGCTGCAGTATCACACCATTGCCTCTTGATACAGCTTAGCATTGTATTGGCTTTATCAGCTGCAGCATCACAGCATTGGCTCTTAATACAGCCTAGCATTGTATTAGCTTTATCGGCTGCAACATCACAGCATTGACTCTTTATAAAGCTTAGTATTGTATTGGGTTTATTGGCTGCAACATCGCAGCATTGCCTCTTGATACAGCCTAGTATTGTATTGACTTTATTGGTCGCAGCATCACAGCATTAGCTCTTGATACAGCCTAGTATTGTGTTGACTTTATCAGCTGCAACATCGCAGCATTGCCTCTTGATACAGCCTAGTATTGTATTGACTTTATCGGCTGCAACATCGCAGCATTGCCTCTTGATACAGCCTAGTATTGTATTGACTTTATTGGTTGCAGCATCTCAGCCCAGTCTTTGAATGGCCATCAGTTGGGAGGACTTTGATTTATCTACTCACATTGCTGTTTTCAAACTGCTAGGTAAGAAGAAGCTGGGGCTGATGGCAGGAGCTCACCCCGACCCGGATTTGAACTGTCAACCTTCAATCGGCAAGATTTTCTACAATTGGAGATTTAACCCGCTGTGCTAAGCCCGGCCCTTGAATGGCTATCAGTTGGGAGGACTTTGATTTCGTATTCCTTCATGAATTCTGCTCCCAAGCATTTGAGACCAGAGACAATTAATCTGTAATTCCAGTGCAATTTTCTTTACCCATTTCCCCAAATTTAAGAAGTCCCTTCTCTTCCCAATTCTCATGTGGAATAAGAGGACCTGGCAGGACCAAGAAAGAAGGCAGGAACAGAAAGAGGAATGTCTTTTGATGATGCTCGCTGTAGTTTCCAGCATCTCTGGAGTCACAATTAGAGCAAATTAATTCACGTTGTGTTTTGACACACTTGCCGAGCGCCTGGACGCTGGCATGACGGCTGGGGGGAGAAGAAAGCAGGAAAATCAGAGTCCCAGTTTGCATGCTTAGTGTGCCAGCAGAGTGGCATTCGCCCTCCACTATGCAGAGTTGCTACCAAAAAATATTAAAAGTAATTACTAGGATTTCGGGAGAATTTCTAATGCCAAGCTATAGAGAGAAGGGGGAGGTAGCAGGGAGAGAAGGTTGTGTCAAGAGTCAGTATTGTGATGCTGCAGCCAATAAAGCCAATACAATCCTAGGCTGGATAAGAGCCAATGCTGTTATGGAGGAATATGAAATCAAAGTCCCCCCGACTGATGGCCATTCGAGGGCCGGGCTTAGCACAGCGGGTTAAACCGGCAGTTACAGAAAATCTTGCCGATCAAAAGGTTGACAGTTCAAACTTTGGTTGGGGTGAGCTTCCGCCATTAACCCCAGCTTCTGCTTACCTAGCAGTTCGAAAACGGTGTGAGTAGATAAATCAAAGTCCTCCTGACTGATGGCCATTCGAGGGCCGGGCTTAGCACAGCGGGTTAAACCGCAAGTTGCAGAAAATCTTGCCGATCGAAAGGTTGACAGTTCAAACCTGGGTTGTGGTGAGCTCCCACCATTAGCCCCAGCTTCTGCTTACCTAGCAGTTCGAAAACAGCGAAATGAGTAGATAAATCAAAGTCCTCCCGAGTGATGGTCATCCAAGGGCCGGGCTTAGCACAGCGGGTTAAACTGCCAGTTGCTGAAAATCTTGCTGATCGAAAGGTTGACAGTTCAAACCTGGGTTGTGATGAGCTCCTGCTGTCAGCCCCAGCTTCTGCTTACCTAGCAGTTCAATAACAGCAATGTGAGTAGATAAATCAAAGTCCTCCCAACTGATGGCCATTCAAGGGCCAGGCTTAGCACAACGGGTTAAACTTGCCAATTGCAGAAAATCTTGCCAATCGAAAGGTTAACAGTTCAAACCTGGGTTGTGGTGAGCTCCTGCTGTCAGCCCCAGCTTCTGCTTACCTAGCAGTTCGAAAACAGCAATGTGAGTAGATAAATCAAAGTCCTCCCAACTGATGGCCATTCGAGGGCCGGGCTTATCACAGCGGGTTAAACTTGCCAATTGCAGAAAATCTTGCCGATCGAAAGGTTAACAGTTCAAACCTGGGTTGTGGTGAGCTCCCACTGTCAGACCTAGCTTCTACTTACCTAGCAGTTCGGAAACAGCAATGTGAGTAGATAAATCAAAATCCTCCCAACTGATGGCCATTCGAGGGCTGGGCTTAGCATAGCGAGTTAAACTGCCAATTGCTGAAAATCTTGCTGATCGAAAGGTTGACAGTTCAAACCTGGGTCGGGGTGAGCTCTCGCTGTTAGCCCCAGCTTCTGCTTACCTAGCAGTTTGAAAACAACAGTGTGAATAGATAAATCAAAGTCCTCCCAACTGATGGCCATTTGAGGGCTGGGCTTAGCACAGTGGGTTAAACCACCAGTTGCAGAAAATTTTGTCGATCGAAAGGTTGACAGTTCAAACTTTGGTTGGGGTTAGCTTCCGCTGTCAGACCCAGCTTCGGCTTACCTAGCAATTCGAAAACAGCAATGTGAGTAGATAAATCAAAGTCCTCCCGACTGATGGCCATTCGAGGGCCGGGCTTAGCACAGCAGGTTAAACCACCAGTTGCAGAAAATCTTGCCGATCGAAAGGTTGACAGTTCAAACTTTGGTTGGGGTGAGCTGCCGCCATTAGCCCCAGCTTCTGCTTACCTAGGAGTTCGAAAACAACAGTGTGAGTAGATAAAACAAAGTCCTCCCGACTGATGGCCATTCAAGGACCGGGCTTAGCACAGCAGGTTAAACTGCCAGTTGCAGAAAAGCTTGCCGATCATAAAGTTGACAGTTCAAACCCGGCACAGGGTGAGCTCCCGCTGTCAGCCCTAGCTTCTGCTTACCTTGCAGTTCGAAAACAGCAATGTGAGTAGATAAATCTAAGTCCTTCCGACTGATGGCTATTCGAGGGCCGGGCTTAGCACTGCGGGTTAAACTGCTAGTTGCAGAAAATCTTGCCTATTGAAAGGTTGATAGTTCAAACCTGGGTCAGGGTGAGCTCCCACTGTCAGCCCCAGCTTCTGCTTACCAAGCAGTTCAAAAGCAGCAATGTGAGTAGATAAATAGGTACCGCTTTAAGTGGAGAGGTAATAAAAGGGAGGGTGTTGGGAAGGTGTCTACAGACAACAAAGCTCCTCAGCATGGAAGATGGAGCGACAGCACTTCCCTGTGGCCAGTGTTGAGCACACCCTCCAGATGCCAGAGATGGAAAACGATGGGAAGCCATTACCTCTGTGTATGTATTGTCTCCATGTCCAGGACGATGCTATTTTCCAAGCCATGGCTTGACTGAGATTTGGGCGTGTTGCACCGAGCCGGGCTGCTCTCCCTTCTCTTCCTGCAACCGCTACATTTTGTGATAATTTGATGAAGAACTTCACCCTAATTAAATATTCAAATGCGGCTTGCATGTCACCGCGGCTTCCCGGGGCTGGGAATGATGATTAATTGTATTCCGAACTCGGGCGGCCGCTGTTTGCCTCGACGCAGCCGTCGTTTGCTGATTGTTCGTGCGTCTTGCGTGCTGTTCGGCGCTCTCTTTTTTTCCGCCTCCTCCCCTCTTTTTGTTGGAATTGAAACCAGTAATTGATATGCCATATGCCGCCAATCTGCTCGCACATAACAATAGTATTTAGGAACTTGGGGGTTTTAATAAGTTGGGTTTTTCTTTGTCTCTATTTGTGGGAGGGAAAGCAAGTGGAGTCTCCCTTATCGGAAAGGCCTTTATTGGACTTTGGATGAGACATCTTGGAGATGGGACCCAAGTCCAAACATGAAAGTAATTGAGGTTTCACATACACTTTACGCATACGAGGGTGGAATGAATAGTAATGCCTCCACTTTCATAACTCCTCAACCGATGGCAGTACTGGTATGCAGCAGGTACTGGCTTGTTCAGTAGACTCTCCTCTACAGTTCCATTTTGGTGGGAAGCCTTACCATTGAACGGTTGTGTTGTTAAAGTGTGAAGTATAGAACCCTGCGCAGATGGTCAGTCAATGCAACTTAAGCACCATATGCGGCAGGTACTGGCTTGTTCAGTAGACTCTCCTCTACAGTTCCATTTTGGCAGGAAGCCTTAGCATTGAACGGTTGTGTTGTTAAAGTTTGAAGTATGAAACCCTGCCAATAGGCTCAACAGATGGCAGTACTGGTATGCAGCAGGTACTGGCTTGTTCAGGAGACTCTCCTCTACAGTTCGATTTTGGCGGGAAGCCTTAGCATTCAACGGTTGTGTTGTTAAAGTGCGAAGTATGGAACCCTGCACAGATGCTCAACAGATGGCAGTACCGGTATGTGGCAGGTACTGGCTTGTTCAGTAGACTCTCCTCTACAGTTCCATTTTGGCGGGAAGCCTTAGTATTGTACGGTTGTGTTGTTAAAGCGCGAAGTATGGAACCCTCTGCAGACGGTTGGTCAAGGCAACTTAAGCACCATATGCGGCAGGTACTGGCTTGTTCAGTAGACTCTCCTCTACAGTTCCATTTTGGCAGGAAGCCTTAGTATTGAACGGTTGTGTTGTTAAAGTGCGAAGTATGGACCCCTGCGCATACAGTCGGTCAATGCGACTTAAGCAACGTGCAGTCATTGAATTCTTGACAGCAGAAGGTGTCACCCCAAAGGAGATTCATCAGAGAATGCAAGCTGTTTATGGTGATTGTGCTGATGTGAGTACTGTGTGTCATTGGGCGAGCAAGTTTAAAGATGTTGAGGTGAGACGACTTGCATGACCAACAAAATGTTGGACGTCCTGTGACAGCAACCATTGAGTTTCACAAGCAAAAGGTTGGCAGACCCCTCTGACACCCCTTCGTGACCCCCAGGTTGAGAAACACTGCCATAAGTCAACATCCACCTTGTAGCCACACAGCGTTGAACTATGACAATAATATCTTGTTTCTTTTCCTTTCTAGGCACATATCTCTGACGCTCCCTGCCAGTTTTCGAGGGAAGGGGCAAGGCACGCGGCCGGACTTTGAGTACCAGCACTCCAACTTGTATGCCATATCAGGTAAGTTGTAGAGCATATCATTATTGTAGGTGCGTGTTACATATTAGCCTAAAGCCATACAGGTGACTCTCACTTGGGCTGAGGGTGCTTTGGGAACCATGACAAGATAGATCCAACCCAAACGTACATTGCCTTCTGTGAACTGCGATCTTGCTCATATGTTTCTTGCAAGCTCATATGTTTCTCCAAGCACCCTGAATATACATTATGGTGGACCTCTCCATGAAGCAAATGCAACCAAAATTTTGTCAGGTTTGGAATTTGGAATTTAAACAGTTAGGTTTAGGAGAATTGAAGGGGAAGGAAGGAAGGAAGGAAGGAAGGAAGGAAGGAAGGAAGGAAGGAAGTAAGGAAGGAAGGAAGGAAGGAAGGAAGGAAGGAAGGGGGTGGGATAGAAAGCCTTCAGGGAACAGGAGAAGAAATATATTTATTTTATTTATTTATTTACTACTAGTCGTTCCCTGCCACGCGTTGCTGTGGCCCAGTCTGGTGATCTGGAAAATAAAGTAATTTCTAATATATGTAATTTCTTTATGCTTGTGGGTAAACAGTACTTCTTGTTGTTTCTTTGTCAGTGTTAATGTAGAGATTGTCTGGTTTGCCTACTCAGGAACATGCAACATATAAGTGTTCTTCTTTAGGGGTCCCTTTTCAAATCTATGATACTATATCTCTCTGTGTGTGGAATCATATATCTATGGCTGGATGGCTCTTTGTCAGGAGGGCTTTGATTACATTTTCTTGCCCTGGTGAAGGGAGTTGGACTGGATGGCCTTAAGTATTTTCTGTTGGTCATGGGGGTTCTGTGTGGGAAGTTTGCCCCAATTCTGTCGTTGTGGGGTTCAGAATGCTCTTTGATTGTAGGTGAACTATAAATCCCAGTAACTACAACTCCCAAATGTCAAGGTCTATTTACCCCCAAACTCCATCTTATTTGGGCATATGGAATATTTGTGCCAAGTTTGGTCCAGATCCATCATTGTTTGAGTCCAAAGTGCTCTCTGGATGTAGGTGAACTACAACTCCCAAACTCAAGGTCAATGCCCAAACCCTTCTAGTGTTTTCTGTTGATCATGGGAGTTCTGTGTGCCAAGTTTGGTTCAATTCCATCATTGATGGAGTTCAGAATGCTCTTTGATTGTAGGTGAACTATAAATCCCAGCAACTACAACTCCCAAATGACAAAATAATTTTTTTATGAGTGATGGTCACTCCTTGGGTTAGTAGGTGTCTTGTGGCCAAATTTGGCGGCAATTTGTCTAGTGGATTTTGAGTTATGATAATGATTTATGTTACAATTGTATTGTCGAAGGCTTTCATGGCTGGAATCACTAGGTTCTTGTGGGTTTTTTCAGGCTATAGGGCCATGTTCTAGAGGCATTTCTCCTGACGTTTCGCCTGCATCTATGGCAAGCATCCTCAGAGGTAGTGAGGTCTGTTGGAAATAGGAAAAAGGGTTTATATATCTGTGGAATGGCTGGGGTGGGGCAAAGAGCTCTCTGCTGAAGCTAGATGTGAATGTTCCAGCTGACCACCTTCATTAGCCTTTGAAGGCCTGGCTGAGCCTGGGAAAATGTTCTGTTGAGAGGTGTTACATTACATTTTTATTTATATAGATAAACAAATGGGTTTACATTGGGGGGGGGGAACACATCAGTTTATCTCTCTCCTTCCAAGTGTTGCTGGTACAGTTCCTGTTGCAGATATAACTGCTATGGGGTAAGGCGTATTTATTTGCAGACGAATGTTTTTATGTCCTGCTTCCTTCCGTTGTGGCTCTCTTTCTATACAACCCCATCCATTCCCTCTGGGGTTTTCCAGCATTTGTGCAGCTGTTTCCTTCTCTCGCAAGCTCAAAAACGGCAAGAAAGAGGTGTGTGAAATAATGGAGGAGATTTTCCAATGAGCGTTTTAACGGAGTCAAATAATTAGGCTTTAAATGCAGAGTTCAAGGCAGTATAATTAAAGAGAAATCTGGTTTTGTTAGTGTGCATGCACTTAATATACAGAAATATGTAATGTTTCCCAACTAACTTTTCTGAGCACCGTTCACCTTGAGAGGGCAAAACAGGAAGAGGAAAAGACGTAGTCTACCTGTAGTTCTCAAACTCTGGGCAAATGCCACAAGGGACATTTGTGGATCAAATCCATCACCACATTTCATAAAATCATAGATAATAGTAAAAGGTAAAGGGAAAGGTTTCCCCCTGACATTAAGTCCAGTCGTGTCTGACTCTGGGGGTTGGTGCTCATCTCCATTTTTAAACCGAAGAGCCGGTGTTGTCCATAGACACCTCCAAGGTCATGTGGCCAGCATGACTGCATGGAGCGCCAATACCTTCCCACCGGAGTGGTACCTATTGATCTACTCACATTTGTATGTTTTCAAACTGCTAGGTTGGCAGAAGCTGGGGCTGACAGCTCTTGGTTATGGGAGTTCTGTGTGTCAAATGTGGTCCAGTTCCATCCTTGGTGGAGTTCAGAATGCTCTTTGATTGTAGGTGAACTATAAATCCCAACTCCCAAATGTCAAGGTGTTTTTTCCTCAAACTCAGTGTTCACATTTGGGCACATTGAATATTCGTGCCAAGTTTGGTCCATATCCATCATTGTTTGAGTCCACTAGATGTAGGTGAACTACAACTCCAAAACTCAAAGTCAATGCCCACTGAACCTTTCCAGTATTTTCTGTTGGTCATAGGGGTTCTGTGTGGGAATTCTATGTCAGTGAGGTTCAGAATGCTCTTTGATTGTAGCTGAACTATAAATCCCGGCAACTACAACTCCCAAATGTCAAGCTCTATTTCTTTCAAACTCCACTAGTGTTCACATTTGGGCACATTGAGTATTTGTGCCAAGTTTGGTCCATATCCATCACTGTTTGAGTCCACTAGATGTAGGTGAACTACAACTTCAAAATTCAAAGTCAATGCCCACCGAACCCTTCCAGTATTTTCTGTTGGTCATGGGGGTTCTGTGTGGGAATTCTATCATTGGTGGGGTTCAAAATGTTATTTGATTGTAGGTGAACTATAAATCCCAGCAACTACAACTCCAAAATGTCAAGCTCTATTTCTTCCAAACTCCACTAGTGTTCACATTTGGGCACATTGAGTATTCGTGCCAAGTTTGGTCCAGATCCATCATTATTTGAGTCCACTGGATGTAGGTAAACTACAACTCCAAAACTCAAAGTCAATGCCCACCGAACCCTTCCAGTATTTTCTGTTGGTCATGGGGGTTCTGTGTGGGGATTCTATCATTGGTGGAGTTCAGAGTGTTCTTTAATTGTAGGCGAATTATAAATCCCAGCAACTACAACTCCCAAATGTCAAGCTCTATTTCTTCCAAACTCCACCAGTGTTCACATTTGGGCACATTGAGTGGTTGTGCAAAGTTTGGGTCCATATCCATCATTGTTTGATGGATATGGACCAACGACATCCAGTACTCTCTGGATGTGGTTGAACTACAACTCTCAAACTCAAGGTCAATGCCCACCAAACCCTTCCAGTATTTTCTGTTGGTCATGGGAGTTCTGTGTTCCAAGTTTGGTTCAATTCCATTGTTGGTGTAGTTCAGAATGCTCTTTGATTGTAGGTGAACTATAAATCCCAGCAACTACAACTCCCAAATATAAAGGTCTATTTTCCCCAACCCCACCAGTATTCAAATTTGGGCGTATTGGGTATATGTGCCAAATTTGGTCCAGTGAATGAACATAGATCCTGCATATCAGATATTTACATTACGATTCAAAACAGTATAAAATAATGAAGTAGCAACGAAAATAATGTTATGGTTGGGGGTCACCACAATAGGAGGAATTATATTAAGGGGTCGCGGCATTAGGAAGGTTGAGAACCACTGTAATAGACTATTCCAGTGGCACACTGGGTTAAAATGCTGAGCTGAAAGGGGTGAGCTCCCGCTGTTAGCCCCAGCTTCTGCCAAGCTAGCACGGCATTAGGGAGGTTGAGAAACTAGTGGAACCTCCTTAGACAGGAGTAGTGTATCAGTTAATATTAGATGCTAGGCCAACTTGCCATCGCCATCCTAATTTGCTTAGTAGCTCCATTGAAACATCGTATTGGAATTGATGGATTGAAAGCGTATTTATTCTTTTCCTTTTGGTCTTGCTAAGAACAGCTGGGACTTCTCAAAAGCAAACAAATGAAACAAGCCGTGAATTGATAACGCAGCGCAGCCCCTGCCTCTCCGAAAAGGCCCTCGGCTGCTTCCCGGCTCCTTTCCTTGTATATATATTATTAAAAAACTAAAATATATTAATGGTGAGTGACACTTATAACCGACGAACATGGCATTAACTCATGTACCTTAATGAAAGGGCCATTCAAACAGTAATCTTTTGGCTCAGTGCTGCCGCGGTAGGCTTCTAAATAGATGGGATATCACCGTGGCATAATTCATGTCAGTTTTCGTTTTTCCTCGTTACTCCGGCGGCCTAATGGAGTTGGAAATGAGTGGAAATATTGCCCGGTGAGGATCCCAAGGGGAGAAGGAAAGCGGAAGGAAGTCACGCGTTTTTGTTGGGTGTGTTTTATTATTTCCTCTTCCCCTTGAAGCCACAAATACAGGACCCAACCTGTATTTGAACCCTTCACCAGCTCAGACGGATGATCCAACTAATCTTGGGGAAATGCAAAAGTAGAGCATGAAGACGGTGTCCAAATTATGGCTCTAGGGATGAACCTGGGTTTAAAAGACCCTACAAACCATGATGCCCACCGGTTTTGTCACCTTACGCTTTGCTGGCCTGTCATCCAAAACAGAAGGAAGGGGTTCATTAGAAAACACAAGGCCTTCTAAACAGAGGCTGGATGGCCATCTGTCAGGGGTGATTTGAATGCAATATTCCTGCTTCTTGGCAGAATGGGGTTGGACTGGATGGCCCATGAGGTCTCTTCCAACTCTCTGATTCTATGATTCCATGATTCTACATCTGACTTCCTCCACGTTTCTTTTTTCTCATCCATCCC